GTAACACGCGGTTGGATCACCTCACGATCTTTCGCGTTTAGTTAATTTTGTTATTTGATTTATCTCGATCTTCTTATCCGGGACTCGGCGACATCTCTGAATGGTTTCGCGGCCTCTTGTAAAATACAACAAAATAAAAAAAAAAGGAATACACACGAAACACACACGCATACACGACACACTCCTTTTCTCTTACACATGTACACGCGTGCATACAAACACACACAGGCATACGACAGACCTACCACGAACACACACGTACAAAACACGTTTATTAATTAAATAAAAATCACAAGTTTTTAGAACGTCGTTCGTTCCATGTGACTCATACATTATGTACTATAAACTCGATCATGTGCGATTCGTATATATGTTATATATATACGCATGTATGTATATATACGAACACCATCCGTCCCAGTTCTTCCGCAGTACACTCACGAATATTTCCTTGGCAGTATTCTGCGAAGCAGAGACGGTGAAAGAGAGAGAGAGAGAGAGCGAGAGCGAGAGAGAGAGTGAGAGAGAGATTCGACCGACTTCGAGGTAAGCGAACGTTACTGTCCAATTTAAGAAATTGAATCTCGCGAGATATCGTAGCCAGCGCCATGGGGAGGAGGCGGGGGACGAGATTAATGAGCGAGCTTTCGAAACTTTTCATGCCTCCTCCACCTTCTCCTTCTCCTCCTCCTTTCGAAACTTATTGGCCGCGTTTTCGGCGACAGGCAACGAAGTTTTTCGCGCTGAACTTGTTTTGCCATCGTGATGAAACGACTCGAACGGCGATTTCTTATTTCCTTGGCTCTCGAGGGGTGCAAGGACGTTTCAGGGTCACCAAAATCAAAAATTTCCGACGTTCCATGATACTTTTTCCAAACGTGATTCACGGATTTTTGTCTGTTTTTTTTTTTTTATTAGAACTGTAATTCTATCCGGTGAATAATGACGAAACAAACGTTTACCGAGAGTTCGAAACGCTCGTGCGTGTTGGCCAACTGAAAAAGGCGTTGTTCGAATATCGAATTTTCACGGTCGCGGTTCGGCGCGAGAATTTTTAATAAAAGAAAGAAGAAAGGGATTCAACGGGTGTTTTGTCCCCCTCGTATGTGCGTGCGTCGCTGTTGAACGCGCGCGTTTATCGTGATCCCCGCTGGTCGATCAAGCTTATTGCGAGGCTGTCTCTCTACCGAGAGAGAGCAACTGATTTCCCGCGCGATTCCAGCCGCTAATGAGAAACACCGCTGTAAACAGTAAGAACGCGCATCTTTCCGCGGAAACGACGTTTCGATTTATCCGAACAATAGCGGGCCCTCTGTTCCTTCGCGAAACGCCAATTCCTCCTGCCCGTCCTGAACTGCATCCCCACTCCCCTTATTCTGGTTGAAATCGCGTTTGTACTTTGTAACGAAGCGTCACTGTGTAAATTCC